GTTTCCACATTGTTGCTGTTTCTGCATTTAAACGTAATTGGGAACAACTGATATTCTATAGTCGACTGCCAGGGCCTTAGACTACACATGTCCATTTTTGTTCAGGTATAGCTTTTTATAGCAAGGGCTGCATCTAGCTTCTTTTATTAGAAGTGTGTGTGCTAAATTCTTTATTAATGTGTAATCAGTTTACACCGTTTTGTATAGTGAAGGTGTATTTTCAGTGCTACCCGCTAGCTGATTTTAACTTTAGGAATAAAATTAGTTTTAAAAGCTGTTGTTTGCATTGTCTTGGTCAGTTCCTAAATCAGTAACATACAGCATGAATGGGGATCTGCACACTGGTCTAGCACCCCTCTTCAGAAGAGATGGTGGGAGTACCTTCAAAGATGTCACATTCACATGGGGGCCAGGCGCAGTGGCTCATGCCTGTAATCCCCAACACTTTTGAGGCTGAGGTTGGAGGAATGCTTGAGCTCACGAGTTCAAGACCAGCTTGGACAACATGGTGAAACCCCATCTTTAGAAAAAATATGAAAATATTAGGTGTGGTAGGCCCAGCTACTTGGGAGGCTGAGGTGGGAGAATGGCTTTAGCCTTGGATGTGGAGATTGCAGTGAGCCAAGATCATGCCACTGAACTCCAGCCTGGGTGATAGAGCTAGACCTTGTCTCAAAAAAAAAAAAAAACCAGTGTCATATGAACAACAGTGCTTACGTTTCCTGTTAGTAAGGTTAATTACTAATGTGCTATTTCTTGTGTACAGTTATTGCGCTAGGAGCTGTAGTTGCCTCTAGTCTTCAAAGCAACATTCTGAAATAAACATTGCCTCCCTTCTCAGATGGGGAACCCTGATAAATCAGAGTTGTCTGAAACCTCATGGTTAAAAAGTGGCTATGCAAAATTTGAACCTACCTCTAATACCAGAGTTGCTCTTAACCCTTCCACTACCACATAAGAAATGAGAAACTTCAGCCAGGCATGGTGGCTCACGCTTGTAATCCCAGCACTTTGGGAGGCCAAGGCGGGTGGATCACGAGGTCAGGAGTTTGCGATTAGCCTGGCCAACATGGTGAAACACTGTCTCTACAAAAAAAAACAAAAATTAACTGGACGTGGTAGTGGGCACCTATAATCCCAGCTACTTGGGAGGCTGAGGCAACCTACTTGGGAGGTTTCTGCTTGAAACCAGAAGACAGAGAGTCGAGATCACACCACTGTACTCCAGCCTGAACGAAAGAGTAAAACTCTGTCTCAAAAAATGAGAAACTTGAGATATTAACTTATGCAAAAATGTTCCGAAATCTCTTTTAGGTCCAACTTGACTTGATTCGGGATGGTTGAGACCAACTGAATTCAGTGCAGTTGGGAGTGGGCAGATGTTTTTGAGAAATGCCTCGCTTCTGAGAGTCTTACCTCCTGACTCTGCAGTGAGTAACACACATGCCCTCGGGTGCTCAGAATCTACTAGTCAGTCAACAGAACTGAAGATACCTGTGAATTTCAGGAGGCAGATGTCCCTGTGCTTTGGACAGAAAGTTTGTGTGGCTAACTGTAAAGATAATAACATTTCTCTTTTCTGGTTTTGAAGGTCAAAGCGTGTAAATCAGGGCCTCCTCGGTTGTTAAGCAGGTCACTACTTCCCTATAGAAGCAGCATAAGTTGCTAGAGCTTTGTGGGCACTGTACTTTGTCTATATTTTTCATGAGACACTGGAAATTTTTTTTTTTTTTTGAGCTGAAGTATCTCACTCTGTCACCCAGGCTGGAGTGCAGTGGCACTATCTCGGCTCACTGCAGCCTCCACCTCCCAGGTTCAAGCAATTCCCCCACCTCAGCCTCCTGAGTAGGTGGGATTACAGGCACCCACCACCAGGCCCAGCTAATTTTTATATTTTCAGTAGAGACAGGGTTTCACCATATTGGTCAGGCTGGCCTTGAACTCCCGACCTCATGATCCTTCCACCTTGGCCTCCCAAAGTGCTGGGATTACAGGCATGAGCTACCACACCCAGCCAAGACTCTGGAAATTTTAACATTTCCTCCAAATTGATAACTTGGTCGTGGGAAGTCTTTAAATCCAGGCCATAGAAGCTAGGCAGTAGGTGCTGGTTTTGTCTAAATTAAGTTCAAAAATTCAGATTTGTACATAGTCTTAGCTTTAAAAAGTTTAATGTTTAGTCTTAGATTTGTGTATTGTGTTTCAGTGGCTTCTTTATAAAAAGTAGAAAATGCTTAGTGGATTATTTTAAAGAGCAGTTTGAAGTAACCCTGGTTTACTAGCCAGACAACAGAAATTTTTAGTGTTAAAAAGCTTGATACACGGAAATTGGCTTGTTTGGCAGAGGGCAAGCATTTCCCCCTGGAATTTGAATTTTTAGACTGGCATGCCTTTCTACCCCCATTTTGCAGGCAGAGTACAGTGGCATCATAGCTTACTATAGTCTTAACTTCTGGGCTCAAGCAATCCTCCCACCTCTGCCTCCCCAGGAACTGGCATATGATGCACATCACCATGTCTGGGTAATTTTAAACTCCCCCCCCCCCCGCCCTAGACAATGTCTTGCTCTTTTGCCCAGGTTGGAGCACAGTCGCGCAATCTCGGCTTACTGCAACCTCTGCTTCCCAGGTTCAAGCGATTTTCCTGCCCCCTCCTCCTGGGTAGCTGGAATCACAAGTGCATGCTACTAATCCTGGTTAATGTTGTACTTTTAGTCGAGACAAGGTTTTACCATGTTGGCCAGGCTGGTCTCGATCTCCTGACCTCAGGAGATCTGCCCGCCTTGGCCTCCCAAAGTGCTGGGGTTACAGGTATAAGCCACTGAACCCAACCCCACGCTGCTTTAAGTACATTTTTTGAATAGGTCATGCATGTCATATGGATAAAATTCTCAGTCTGCAGTGGAATACCGTGAAGTCTCTATCCCATCTTCACAATATGAAAGGATGTCATTTGAGGTGCCATGGTGTCTTCCTTTGTAAACATCAAATTCCCTAGAGGAAGGGACAGAGCCTTTAGGTTACTAATCTGTGATTTGACACAGCAAGCATTCCCTTGGGTTTATGGTCCTCTCGTTACTTCATCAGACATGGTGTGTGGGCTCAGAGTGGTTGCTTGTAGCATTTAACTTTGGCTGGCCTTATCTTTGGCTCATTTTAAAAATAAAAGGGCTGGGCGCTGTGACTCACACCTGTAATCCCAGCACTTGGGGTGGCAGAGACCAGCAGATCACGTCAGGGTCAGGAGTTCAAGACCAGCCTCGCCAACATGGTGAGTGAAACCCCAACTCTACTAAAAATACAAAAATTAGTGGCAGGTGCCTGTAGTCCCAGCTACTTTGTAGCCTGAGGCAGGAGAATTGCTTGAACTGGGAAGGTGGAGGTTGCAGTGAGCCAAGATTGCGCGACTGCTCTGCAGCCTGGACAAGAGCAAAACTCGGTTTCAAAAAAAAAAAAATAAAAGGCCTGCACGGAGACCGTGGGTTTGTACTGAAAAAACTGGGTTGTTCAGTACTCTTAGGAGGAGTTCATCTATGGCCACTGCACTATATAGTGACCTATCCTGAAACTGGAGATCTGCTGTGTCTCTGCTGTATTGCACATCCTGTGGTGGCTCAGATCCCCAGCCCTGACAGTTCCTCCCAAGCAGACCTGTGTACTCCAGGAACCCTTAGAGGAGACACACTGCCTTCTAACCCTGAGGCCTACTTCCCTTAACCAGTCCCGATTGCAGCCACAAGTCTCAGTCTTAGCTACTGAGTGACTACAGGAGCCATTCACAGCAATTAACCTTAAAGCAATTGGAAGAGGATGACTTTACTGGGTGTCAAGGTAGCTATATTATTAATGTTTGGAGAACTTAGGCTGTCAAGAAAACAAACATTACCATTCATGAAGACATTGCATGTTGGACAATCAGACTTACAAAGGAAAGTCACATTTTCATAAACCATAGAATAAAGTGGATTCCTGAGTTAAATTCTGGGGTACAGTGGCTTCAGGTGTCTTTAGATTGAGTCATCAAGGGTCTCGATTTAAATTAACAGGAGA